GATACTTAAATGTCATTTCCAATATTACGACGTTTCTTTTTCCTTTCAGTATATATTTTACATGCGTTTCAGACAACTGATACGCCTATGTACAGACAATTTGAGAATTACAATTTCACAGCAGTCACAAATGATCAATATGGGAGAACAGCTGAATCTAACAATGCACTTCAAGCATCACACAAATCTGACCTTTGACTGGAATGGTTAACTTTGTGTGGGGTTCATCTTGAGTTCAGGATAACCCCCAAATATTTATTTTTAAAATATTTTCTGAAAACAAATAATGGTAAACGTTCAAACATAATTTTACATTTTTTAAAAAGTATTAATTTTCAGTGTGTTTATTGGTGCTGTTGTTGCACGCTTCGTCGAAAGCATTTTCAACTTGAAACATTTTATGTGCGCCCCAGACGAATGACAGCCTGCAGACAATGTGAGGTCTGTGTAAAATGTCATTCGACAAAATGTGTCAAATGAAACATGCCTCACGGGATGTTAAAACAATCATATGTTGTTCTAGCACGGGTTAATCATAATGTCCAAATCAAACTTGTAAAAATTCTTTCAGCTATTTACAGGTTGCCGCCATATAGCTGGAGTATTGCTAAGTGCGGCGTTAAACAACAAACAAACCAAACTTAAGAGAACTGACTGTATTTTCTATAACAATGTTCCTCAAGCGTTTCGTCGCACCCCTACGATCGAAATATGGATTGCTGGAGGGTGGGTCTAGTTAAAGAAAGAAAGAGTGAGTGAGTAAGGTTAGTTTTACGCCGCACTCAACAATATTCCAGCTATATGGCGGCGGTCTGTAAATAATCGAGTCCAGACAATCCACCGCCCCCGTGTGTTTGGAAGAATTAGGACATTTGAGGACTGCCGACCAAACACAAACATTTTTGGCACACTTAGCGCCGTTATACTGCGATAGCGTAGGTCGTATGATTCCACTGGGGTGATCGGTAAAGTACTTATTACAGGGGCGGTGGGGTAGCCTAGTGGTTAAAGAGTTCGCTCGTCACGCCGAAGACCCGGGTTCGATTCCCCACATGGGTACAATGTGTGAAGCCCATTTCTTGTGTCCCCCAGCCATGATATTGCTGGAATATTGCTAAAAGCGGTATAAAACTAAACTCACTCACTCACTTATTCCAGGTCTTCATGACATATCTGTGATAGTGCCGCTACTACGTTAACAAACACCCCAACGAACTGATTGTTCTCCTTGCTTCCCAATGCTAAACGGAATCAATGAGTGGGTTAGTGAGTTTAGTTTTACGCCGCGTTTTGCAATACTCCAGCAATATCACAACGGGGGACTCTGTCAATGGGCCTCACATATTCTACCCATGTAGGGAATCGAACCTGGGCCGACGAGCGAAGGCTTTAACCACTAGGCTACCGGCAATCACGTGTACTTACTGTCATTGTATGTACACACGTGAACCCTTTATCCTGGAAAATAAACACAGATAGTAGTGACTGAACAAATAAGTGTATCTAAGTGTCAGGCATGGTTGTAACTGAACAAGTAGAGTTTAGCTTGGGATAGTAAGGACGTACAGGCCTCAGTGCAGCGAAGAAATTGACAGTCAAATTTACATTAAGAAATGAGAAACTTTAGCCATGGCCATCATAGGCTTAGCCCTCCTCCAAAAACGTACATATATACTCTTTAAGAAAGGAAGGGAACCTGAACTTTCAATTTGGATAGGAAGCATAAGCGTTAACAAACGTTTCAAAGACAGACATCTTATGAGCGCACCACCATTTCTCTTTATCACCACCCCTAAACACAACGCATTGGATGCACGTGCACAACGCAGTAGCCCCAAGCATGGGGGTCATTCTTGATTTTGAAGAAGGTCGATAAATCTCTGTAAACCATTAATTTTGACAATCATCTTGCAACACAGTTGTTAGTGTCTGTTTCTTTGAAATTGAAAATCGTACACAAGCAAATTTAACGTCATACACCAATCATCTTTCAAGAGCGATTACTGTACAAACAACTATGGTCATAAGGAAGTGCAAGTGGTGATGTACTCTCAAAACACTCATTATTATCATATCAACATTGATTGACTGCAATATATCTGCCAACCTTTTCAATCGTAATTTAAAAACGAAGTTCCCCTACTTTATGTATGTATTCGTTGATATTCCCCAGCACTTTGCAATGTTTCATGCTTTAGTCCGCCAAGTATCTATTTTCACCCCTTGCCACTGCATTACTATAAACGCACATACCGTACAACCAGAAATTATTGAGAATTTAAGATTGTAATTTTTTTTAACATTTCACTCATTACTCGCGTATAAAATGTGAATATTAGCAGAACATAACTCCAGATTCAAAGACAGGTGAACAGTTAGTATTTTGTCAAGTCACCATGGGCAGCAATGCAGGCATCAATGCGGCGGGGCATACTACTAATATCTGTGTACCGCTCACTGTTCATATTCCCTTCAAATACACAGAGAGGCGTTGCCCCTAACACAGATATGCAAAACCCACGTTAAATTTCGGACTGTACTTTGGGCGCTGATACAAAGGTTTTTCAGTTTGTTTGGTCCAGAATTTCAGTGTATTAGGAAACAGCCACACAGAACTTTCATCTGAGAAAATCACATTGTCCCAGTTAAAATTTCTATGCTGTAAGCACCAGTTCAACCTTCGCTCCTTTTGTTCAGGTTTCATGATCAGTGATGGAATTCCTAGACTTTTCTGCCAACTCATTGCATGCAGCTCACTTCTAATTGTCTCCTTACAGACAGCCACAGTTCCTCTATCAATCATATCCAGCCTTATGTTTTCTACACTCCTTCGTTTGTTTTTAAGAAACAAGAATACCAAGCCGCCTCCTGTCACCGACAGTCAATTTTCTGGGCCTACCTGCGCCTCCCTGGTGCTCAATGCCATATCCATTTGCAATATTTTTCAAAACACGATAAACAGTGGACAAAGGGATGCCTGTTCTACTTGAAATCACTTTAGCTGATCTGATGTCCTTGTTATAAAACTCTAAACTTCCTCTTCTCTAAATCATCCATACTGAGGATCACTGAATATGTCGTCTGCTAGCAAGTAATCAAAGGGGGACAACTCTTCACAAACAAATGAAAAAGGATTAACGGAGTTGTCTCTCTTGAATGAAACCAAGCACCTGATAGCTGGTCAAGGTTGTTTATACTAGAAATCTAATTAAACATATTCCTAAAATTCTCAATAATTTCTGGTCATACTATACAATGGAAACCTGATAAGTAAAATTTCTAGGGACTCGCCAAAATTGTTTGCTTATCAGGTATTTTACTTATCCAATCTTATCAAAACCTGCAAATGACAACCATATGCGTGTATATGTATACAACAGAATACATTTATAATACAAAGTAATAAAATCAAAAAAAAATCAAACGAAATATTTCAGTCACAGTCTAGCTTCCAACTCCACAAAAGCTGTCATGTTTAGCTGGAGACTGACGCGCGCCCCTCATGTCGGATTATGTGGTGATCGCTAATTTAGATATCCGGTCTCTTTTGTATATTTGTTACCCGACATTGCTTAGAAGACACAATAACTGTGTCCATACACTTATCAGTAACTGTCAACATTTCACACAGAAAATATCAAATCATGTATCGACCTTATACCCACGTCACTTTACTTACTGCATACCCTAGGACATCTCAGCAAAGTCCCAAACAGTCAACATATGCGAAAAGGTAAGCAAATCCTACTCAACTGCCCTTTGCAAAGCAAACACATGCAAAGTCAAGTCAAATATTCACAAGCAAAACGGAAATATATCGTTCACGCTGAAAAAGGATAACACTGATGATCTTGGAGACATCTTCCCTCATTTAACTGAAGTGGATTTCATAAAGCTTAGCCATCGCCACAGTGATAGTGAGTGAATGTTGTTTTACGCCGCTTTTAGCAATATGCCAGCAATATCACGACATGGGACACCAAGAATCGGCTTCACACATTGTACCCATATGGGGAATCGATCCCGGGATTTCAGCGTGACGAGCTGACGCGCCACGGCGATAAGTAACGCAGGAAATCATAAACACTGATTGACTGGACGAATTAGGTCCAACCAGTACTGCACAGTTTACACATTTTCATGGACATTGTAGATCTTATTTATGAACTTGAATCTTGTAAGCGGAGAAAGCGACCACCTGGTATCATTACTATTAGATATTAGTTAATAATCATAATATTGTAAAAAGTGGCATAAAACCATCCTCACTCACTCTATCACTGACTTGTTTGGTCCCCGTCATATACCAGGAAAATTAAGGAGCACCAAGTTAAACAAACTTCAAACAAACAAGCAAACAAACAAATATAAATAAATTTATCATCCTTGAGTGAGTGTGTGAGTGTGAGTGTGATTTTACGCCGCTTTTAGCAATATTCCAGCAGTATCACGGCAGGGGACAGCAGATGGAAATCGAACCCAGGTCTTCGGCGTGACGAACGAACGCTTTAACCACTAGGCTACCCAACTGCCCCTATCGTCCTTGAACAATGTTCCTTGCTGGAACAGTTACAAGTTTAATGTATTATTAGGATAGAAGAACGTGAATGTAACTTTTCGTTCATTTGAAATCGTTATTGAATAATGTCGGATATAAATGTTTTGCATGGTATGGTAGGTGGGTGTTTGGTTTTGGGTGCGCTTTATCTTATCGATAAAAATTAATGGCACGTAGGCTTACATTTCCCCATGACAGTAAACTGCGTAGTTCAGCCTGTGTTACGCAATATAGCTTTCCGAAAAACAAACTGTCCCCAATAACTTTACTGCTATACATATACGTATTGCTCTATCCACGTTTTGTCAAATAATCTTGCAAAAAATTGTTTGCACAAAACACAGCTATGAACCGAACAACTAAAATAGAATGCTTGAAACGTCAACATTGCACAATGTGTCCCGAATTCGGAATATACAGTCCCGCCTTTCCTTGTGTTATCTTTCCGTCCATGGAAAAACAAGTACATCCGACAATCAGAACATATAAGAGCCGTGTAATTAGCAAACTGACTCACTTGGTCTGCCGTCAGTGTTCACAATGGCCGCGAATATTCTGGTTCCCTCATGGATATTACTTAGCTGTGTAATAGGTATGTCAGAACACTTTTTATCTGCTCATTTCACGGTACAAACGGTATTTGAAATGTTTGACAACTTCATAATTGTATACTTTCATGTAGGTGTATTACTGGGTTTGCGTGTAATTTGCCATGTACATGTTTGACAACAAGACTTAATCCAGACTATGACATTTTGGGTATTTACTGACACAAGAAAGCTCTCATTTACAATTTACCGTTATATCAAAGTATCATTACATCGTCTGGTTTAATTGCAACTTTGATGATTTGATGAAAATATGTCTGATTTTACCTGTAATAAGATAAACTTTGATTGATGCAGAATTGAATACTTTGATGAATGTGTCTTACTGGGTTTGCGTGTGATTCGCCATGGACATGTTTGACAACTAATGTCCTACTGCCTTGAGAGGCATTTTAGAAGTTGTATAGATGAAGGAAAACCAAGGTCTATTGACAGTCAACAGTGCAGCACTCATAGCAATAAAGAAGTTGACTATCCATAGAACTTGGTTTTCCTTCAACTGATGACTTAATCCAGACTATGACATTTCGGGTATTAATTGACATGCTCTCATTTACAATTTACCGTTATATCAAAGTATCATTACATCGTCTGGTTTAATTGCAACTTTGATGATTTGATGAAAAGATGTCTGATTCTACCTGCAGTAAGATACACTTTGATTCAGTGAGAGATCCAGCATAACATTCTAACGAGGGAGATTGCAGGACACAAGGACGCCTTTATTCTGATTTTAGCTGTACTAAAGTACACATTGATTCAGTGAGAGATCCAGCATGACATGCTAACGAGTAAGATTAGAAGACATACGGACATCATTATTCTGATTTTACCTGTAAAAATGTACAATTTGATTCAGTGAAAGATCCAAAATGGCATTCTAACGATGGTGATTACAAGACATAAGGGCGTCATTTTTCTTTGTGTTCTTCAGGTGCACTAGCTGAAACTTGCAACGGGGCGTACGAGTCAATCACCTGTATTTTTGGATGTTGTGAGGACACATTATATGTTTACTGTTGTTTGAGTAACGGGTAAGTAATGATCAACATTATGTGTGCGCGTGTGCCTGTGTGCCTGTGTGCCTGTGTGCCTGTGTGCCATCGTTTAACGGCCTTTTGAAAGGGTACTTCAGTTGTTTGTCAACGGTATTTTATTTATCAAGCATTATTATGGTAACCGTGAGCATCTTTTTGTTGTTGACATCCAAATGGAAGCGACGCAGCAACTCAGTCCCAGTGCCAACCCGGCTATTGTTTGGCCGGGCTGAATATCATATTGTAACACTATCTTCACTCCAAATATAAAACGATGAGTTCCCATAGAATCCCTATTACTGTTAACTTAACTGATGATATTATAATGGAAATCGATGTTTTTTTCTTCAAAACAGGTCAAGGTAAATGGAAAGGCATTTCGGGAAATGTTAGATAGGTTGTGACTAATTAAACGGATCTTTGACTGTTTTCAGGGAATTTAGAAACTGAGTTTCGACTTTCCTTTCCAAGGAACAGGCCTTTATCCATAAAGTCGTATGCTTCATTATTGATTCCCAACTTCTAGAATGCCAATAAAATAATCAGTTGAAACCTGTTCTCGTGGGTTGAGTCAAATTGGTCAATGTTTGATGGCTATATCACTTCTGCAGTAGTTGGCCATAGATGAGTCATCATTAGTGAAATTTCCATAGACTTACATGTTAATTAACTGTTGAAAGAATAGTTTTAATAAACTGAGTAGAAGTAATTCTATTTTGATATTTGGCAAACATCTTCAGCTACACGTACAAAATGTTCTTTCATAATTCCGTTGATTAGTTATCGAATGACACCTGATTAAGCATCATCAGTACAACTTAATTTTAGTCTATTCCCTAGAAAGCCATGTTAAACCTGATCTGTACGTCTTATATATGTTGTTTAAATAGTTGCAGTTTTCTTAATAATCATCGGAAAATTGAATGGGATTTATGTATATGTAGCTGAGATGATTTCCCACATAGTAGAAAAGTACTGAAAGCAATTCCACCGAAACTAGATTTATGAAAATTATTCTTGCAGCAGTTAATTAACATGTAAGTCTATGGGAATATCACTAATGATGACTTACTTATGGCCAACTACTGTAGCTGTCCTCATACCTGAAGCTGACGGGTCGTTCAATTACTGAAGCTCTGTTCACAGGAAGTATGAGGGTCGGTCACAAAGTAGTCCGCCTCACCTAAAAACTGATACAAATTCAGCTGTTTTTATGTTTTATTTTTCTACATTTTATCTGTCAACTCAATGAAATTGGTTTTGCTCTGTTTCAGCATCACGATTGGTTTGACCTTTTATCTTGGTATCCCCCAAACCGCAAAATCTGCGATTAATCACAAAATTCAGGAAACAAAATGTGGAGAAACAGTTTGTGTGTTTCAGTTAGGTAGAGGTCTGCTAGAATCAAACTTAGATTTTAAAGTGCATAAAAAGCAATTTGAAAGTACAATGTACAATATGACAGATCGTTTCTCATTTTCGGCAATTTTTGTTGAAATATTTTACCCCAATGTATTGTGATGACTAATACCTCGTTAACCGCATTACCCACATTGCTGGGGATAAAATGCTGGGATACAATGCTGGGGATACAATGCTTGGGAATTCAAATGCTTAGGATTAAATGCTGGGGATACAATGCTTAGGATTCAATGCTGGGGATACAATGCTGAGGATACAATGCTGGGGATACAATGCTGGGGATACAATGCTGGGAATACAATGCTGGGTATACAATGCTGGAATATAATGCTTGGGAGTCAATGCTTAGGATTCAATGCTGGGGATGCAATGCTTAGGATTCAATGCTGGGGATACATTGCTGAGGATACAATGCTGGATATAATGCTTGGGAGTCAATGCTTAGGATTCAAAGCTGGGGATACAATGCTGAGGATACAATGTTGGGGATACAATACTGGGGATACAATGCTGCAAGTTAACTTGGATAATCCCTGACACAGTTTACAAATTATCAGTCAGTCCAGATTTGTATCCTCTTGGTGTCGATTGTAACGGAGCGTTGTCAGTATAATCTTTAAACTTCAAGTATGTCATGAACAGGGATCGAATCGTCAAGAACGTGTGTTTGAGGGACAAAATGTATTATAGTACTTCCTGGACGAAAACCAATGTCAAGTCGAAACTTCAACAAGTGCATAATGTACCCTACCTCGATATTGTTGAGCGGCCTCAACACTATCAATAACTCGTGTACACAAGCTTGACAGGACAGGTCACCAGGATAAAAAAGAAACACATGCTTCAGTGTTACACTGTTTCTGGTGAAACAGGATATGTGTCAGTTTATATCTAAACATATCAGCTTTGATTCACCTCATGTTTACAGTGTAGATTATGCATGCAATGCTGTCACACCCTACGTATTTCCAAACTTCCGGGGCGGTGGGGTAGCCTAGTGGGTAAAGCGTTCGCTCGTCACGCCGAAGACCCGGGTTCGATTCCTCACATGAGTACAATGAGTAGAGCCCATTTCTGGTGTCCCTGCTGTGAAATTGCTGGAATATTGCTAAAAGCGGCGTAAAAACATATTCATTCACTCACTTTTAATCATTATTATTATCATTTCAGAGCCGGCATTGGTATCATCTGCGGGTGTCTGGCAATTGTCCTGAGTTGCATAGGAGCATGCTGTCGACAAGCTCACAGAAGAAATAACCTGAACCAGGCTACTGTGCTACATAACACTCAGGCCGCTTCCGTTGCAGTGGTTACAAACACCGCAAGTATGGATACTTTCCACGAATCTATGTACCTTTGTTACACCAAAGGCAAACTGAAGCGCAAATAGGGCTGCGCAACAAAGACTAAACTGACCAGTCTTACTATATGCGAGAGAAGCGAGCAAAGCTTGGCAACGTACTTCCCTCGATCGCTTCGGTTCGAAAAATATTTCTAATATTAAAATAACATATCGCCACCATCAGAGGTAGACACCCATTTCCTCACAGGGTTGTGTTCTCATATTTCTTACCTCATATTTAATAATTACTCACCTAGAATATATTTAATTCAACATTTTAACAGCGTCACTCGTGAAGGAACAAGAATAAGCGGAAATTGAAAAGAAACATCATATTACCTAATTTTACCGTCAAACTGTTGGAGATTGTTTTTCTTATCTGCAGTCGTTATTGTTAGAATTTTCGTAACATTTATTCTACTAGAAAAAGAAGAAGAAAAAACAACACACTTTTGTTGTACTGGGTGATGAAGCAAGGAAGGTAACTCCGTAAGTATTACATATGACGGACATATGACTCAGCAAGTATATTTAGACTTAACTCCCCTGTTCCTTCACTTCGTTGCGCCGGCAGAGGTAATGGAAGCGAAGAACGATTTGATATGCCATGAGTGGCGATGTTAAAATGTTTAATTAATTATATTTTAATCATCAATATGAGGTTGGAAAACCTGAGAGCACAACCCTGTGAGGAAATGGGTTTTCACCTTTGTTGGTGGCGATATTTCATTTTGATATTAAATATATTTTTCGAACCGAAGCGAGGAAAGTACGTTGCCAACCTTTGTTCGCTTCGCAATTGGGTGGTCTGGTCATTTTTTCTCTGTTGCGCAACCCTATTTGTACTACAGTTTGCCTGTGGTTACAATAACCTTGGAGGCTTGGAATTTGTTGTGTAGAGATTGGCGTCAGAAAACCATGGGTTCGAATCCCAGATTTGCTATGCTAATGTTTGTTGGTTTATTGGCACCATACGCATACTCATCGGGTCATCTACGTGTACGTCGTGTAACGTCGCCATCCTTTGCATCATTTTGCTCCTCCATGTAGTTGCCATGCACTGATATAGCTGAAATAATACGCATCTCAGAAGTTTTACCACTTCGGTCAGACCAAAAGAAACGAGCAATGTATGGTGTTGGAACATGGAAACCTCAACAAGGCGAAATGGGATTCAACACCCGATTCGACATTCATAGATTTCTGGCGTGTCCAACACAGTGGATTGCGTCGCCTTAAACGACTGGGCATCCAATGCTCCCGTATAATACCAACATAAAAGTATAATGAATATGGAAATTCAATCTTGTATCTGTCACATAAAGAAATCCAAATTAAGCTTGATTTACATGTTTCATAAATACTTCGAGGGTTGATCTTTTTACAAGACGAAACGAAGCAATGACAATAATATAATTTATGAAACAGTCTGATCTGAAACCTGTATAAATTTGACTATTTGCAGATCAGGGCGCCTACGGTAACCAACAGATGTCACAATACCCTTCCCCCGCCTACCCGGTACCCCCAACAACCCCTGCCCCTGCAGCCTATCCCCCCAAAGTACTGACACATCGCGGAGGAGTGGAAGTGGGGAATCCCCTTCGCTGAAGGACGCTGGATATTATCATCACATAGCGTGTCTGTTTAATTTGGGGGGGTGGGTTGGGGTGGGGTGGGGATGCGGATCTCAGATATATTTGATTGACAGGTACAATATGCACATACGCATTTTATGTTTTGAAAAATGGTCGGATTGATATATATATATTTTTGGGGGGGGTCTCAGAATTATTTGATTGACAGGTACAATATGCACAGAATGTATTATTCGACATACGTATTAAATATTTCGAAAGAATGGACGGATTTATATTCATCATGCAGCTTGTTTATATATTTGTGGATCTCAGATCTATCTGTTTGATAAGTACATAACATAAAATGTAATGCGCAACGGATATTAAATATTTTGTTGAACGAATGGACGGATTCATATTGTATTCTTCATACAGCATGTTTGTAAGTTTATGGCTCTGAGAGCTATCTGACTGACAAGTATATAGCACATCCAGTGTGATACGCAACAGATATTAAATATTTTGTTGAAAGAATTGATGGAGTCGTAATCATCGTGTAACTGCACACTATAATGCTTTCCATACGTGTAATCTTTTAATTATGAATTTATGATACACGTTGCTTCGTAGGATCTAACAATGTCTAAACACAGGCTTTTGTTGTTTTAATGGAGAACTTTTCACAATAAAATGCATTTTTATAAGTATCTTGTTCTGTTTTTATTTCGAGACATGGTTGGCCAAACAGTCATTGCTGAGTGGGTCGTGTTAGTTACGGATCTAGGTTCAAGTTTCTGTTTATCTCTGATCACAGTCCTTGGCTTGTCGGAGCCGTAGATGTGTCTGTTTGGTTCCTAAAATAGTATTCCTCGTAAGCATTCAGGATAGAATAGGTCCTTGTTGATCTACCTTCCATTGTTCGCAATCTATAGCCGGTTTTTATATTGTATTGTCATTTAAAAGTAAAATATTTTAGATTTAATTACTAGTCTTAAATTTATTCCTGTGATAATCTAGTTGTTTTACTGTCCTTCGTTGACAGGTGTTTTATAATGTAATTGTGTTTATTGTTAATTTATAACTTTTTAAGTCACAATATGGCTGAAATATTGCCAGTCGATGTGTGCTTGACACCTCCTTACAAGTCAGTTGGTTGGTCTGTACGAATTTCATGACGTCATATCTTAAACGTCGCGTGTCTCAGAGGTTAGTTCACAGAACGGGTTCCATATTAAGAAACATGAAACATGACTCACCCCCATCCCTTAAGCCAAGAAATCAACATTGATTCTCAGAAACTGATAAGTGAGTGAGTGAGTGAGTGAGTGAGTGAGTTGGGTTTTACGCCGCATTTAGCAATATTCCAGCTATATCACGGCGGGTGACACCAGAAATGGGCTTCGCACAATGTACCCATGTGGGGAGTCGAAACCGGATCTTCGGCATGACGTGCGAACCAGATGGCTACCCCCACCGCCCCCAGAAATTGATGATTCAAAGGACATAGAGTGTTGAACACTACAGGAGAAACACGGGGAATTGCAGACGAGGTGGCCAAGTCAAATCATTGACTACACAACAGTCTCGTTTCCTGCTGACTGGGTTCCGTCCTATTGCGCAACTTAGTAGAATAACCAGTCCAGAATTTTGAGACGACCTCAGTCAACTGGGTATATAGATATTAATCAGGATTATTTGATACATCTAATCACTTGTATATTGCATCAGTACGCTCCTTCTGGAAATCGTAGAAATCCCAAAACGAGGCTCGGCCGCTAGAAAAGTTTGGCGATCCGGTACGGACTTGATATTATATCAATCACATTGTACGTTACAAAAAGACATAACATAATCACAAAAGACACATAACAGGTGTAACCAGTGAGCTAGATGAATTGTGAATCAGTCTGTGACGTCTTTGTTAACGACATGCTGCCTAAACCGCGACATTAAATATTGAAATACGATTTTATTAAACCTTAAAACTAAGATTAATTTGTACATACCATTTTCCTATGAAGCAGGAAATTCGAATTGAGTGTAACCATAGTTGTTTGTAATGTCTCTTTTCACTTTCCCACGAGAAAATTCGGATCGACTGAAAAGTAGGTCATTGTCTGAATTGGTTAATGAGGCTCATGTTTCGGTTCGAGGTACTACTGAACACGCGGCATGGCCTTCAAGACATTCCACTTGGTACAAAGATTTTTTCATGTTCATAGATATGTTCATGTTAAAGAAATAGAAAAACACGTTATTTTTCTGCGTGTAGTGTTGTATTAAGTAAACAGTATGCAAATGTAGAAACGTAAAACAAGGCATTTATTATCAGAGTTTTTATAACATTAATGGTGTCTTGATTCGCTGGGGTTTGTTCAATTATTAAATCTCGTAGATCTTTATTGCAAAGCTTCGTCCTTTTTACTACTTTGGCCTTATGTAGTTTTTAAAAATCTTATATATAGTTGATGGTTTTATAACCATGTTAACCTCGTGGTCGTCATTCCAGATGTCCGCGAGACATTAACTTAGCATACGACTTTATGGATAACAACTTCCTTCATGAACAGAGCGACGCTTCGATGTAGATTCTTACACCGTTTTCAAGTTAACAGTGATTACAAGCAGGTGATCAGACGTATTATATAGGGAATCAATTTTTCATGTTTCACGTAGCCTTCAAATTCTGAACATGGGTTGGTCGGTCGGGGAAAGAACCCCCCAAAAACCCAAAACACTTAATAAAGACAAAATTATCTGAATAATGTTCTTGATTCTCATTTATTGTAATTCTTATTACAATTTCTCGCGTTCTTTGGACTTGTGGCAGCGTCTGATTAAAAGATAATCATATATGACGAGGCGGTACGTTTTAGGTTCGAGTCGGCGGTGTTGGAACGAAAAAATCCAGTTTTGGGGGGATGTCGGCAATAAAATTAGAAGGGTCGGTAGGGCGATGAGAAACACAAAAAATAAAATTGCTGGCCATGGTGATAAACAGCAGATAACAAACAACCTCAAATGATTGATAACATGTAGTTCTAAGATAATTAGATTAATCCAGGTGGAGAATATGGACAACAAATAGAACCAGCCATCAATCCAGTATACGGGATTAACTTCTACATTATACACAAACTGATTGGTTGCATGTAGAATATAATAATTGACAGAGTCTACCTTTTGATTTACTCCTCGTAGACCGATAGTGTGGGTTCCTGCTTGTACCCTAAACAGATCTAACAAATTGTGTATTATTTAATTACAAATCCTTCCATATATATCGAGTATATACTGAACCTGTCCATTTTGAAAATTTTCGGATAATTGTGTTTATCGAATACATGACACAATTTTATGGACAACAACTTCTTTATATTCTATATATGCTACAGAGCTAAACGTTCACGTTCGTCAAACTAAATGCATTTCAAAAACTTCAATAGTGTTCTCCATATTTTCATGACAATGAGTTGAAGGAAGTTTAAATGAAGGGTTTTTGTACTTGCACAAGTCAACGGGTTTCCTTTTAAACACCACAAAGCATATACAGATCATGAGTATTTGGATTCCGTCTTCCACAGCGCAAAGAAGGCCATTGACTAAGGGAGACAACTCTGTACACAAATCAGGTCCTAAACCACGTACCAAAGAGTGCTCTGGTTCAATACTTGCGTGTTATGGACTTGTTCATTATTTACAGTAACACAAAAGTATATCGTCGTAAATTGTATAAACATGAATAGATGGATATGTCAAACAAATTACCATTCTTTGCTTTTGAAAAAATCAACAACATAAAAACATTAAGCTATAAATTGATAACACAGATAACACGTGACTCTCATCAAAAGGAATTCGCTAGAGGATAAGTGTCAAAAGAACACGACTTTATCAACATTCCATACGAAACCTTATCATGAACAGATTAGAAAGAAACCATTTTGTATGTGTTAACACAATCAGTCAGCTTTATATAAAATACAGTCATTTCTATAAAGGATGACGAGCACCAACTAAAGCATTACAAGTGCCATTCTGGCCTAATTCTAATTACAAAAATACAAATATATTTATCTGAAACGTGTTGTGCTGCGTCATCTAGACGTGTTGTTAAAACTCCAGGCCACTAAAAGAATTGTATTGTATTCTGAGGTTGGTTTATTTATATCATGATGGTCTTGGTTATGCATTATTCGACTACAAACATATGCGGTATGCTTGGTGATTTGCTTAATAAAGGTATCAGACGCATTATTATAAAAAACATTATATTAAAAAGTTGATTATCCACAGGAATTTGACCTTGTTCATTACACTAACTCCTAAATGCAACTCATATGGGTCAGATGAAGATATGGAAAGCAATGAGCTGTTTCCATGATGCAAGCACTATCCACCCCAATCCCAAACTCAGAAATTGCAGATAAAGTGCATGATCAAAGAAAAACCAAATGTCAGGAACATTATAAAGAGAACAGAGGTCCGGGTTAGAATATTGATCTTCAGCAACCCATGCTTGTCGGAAGAGGCGACTAACGGGGCTCGCTGACTTGGTTGACACATGTCATCGGTTCCCAATTGCGCAGGTCGATGCTAATGCTGTGGATCACTGGATCGTCTGGTCCAGACTCGATTATTTACAGACCGCCGCCATATAGCTGGAATATTGCTGAGTGCGGCGTAAAACTAAACTCACTCACTCACTCACTTGACTGATATCGCCACAGGTAGCAGATACTTCACATCGGCAGATTAATTCTATCAGTAATATCCTTACTTCTAATGTTCGCCCTCACTAACCTCGATTGTTCGAGGAAGTTGGTTTTGAATAAATCGGAATATTTTGATACCATGCTCTCCGATTCCCACATGGATACAATGTGTGACTCCCACCGTCACATTGCTGGAATATTGCTGAAAGCGGCATAAAACAACGCCCATTCGCTCATTAGATCCAGAAACGACGTGAGTACATTCTCCACCCTTAATTTTCTGAAAGAAAATCATCGTCCAGATAAGGGCGGTACA